GGTGTTATGCACAAACAATGAATCATGGAACACTTCATCTAAAACTAATGATGTAATGTATGGGGATTAACATAAGAATAAAAAAAAAAAGACAATAAAAAAAAAAATGTCTGTCTAACCCTTCTGACAGAAGTACCTTCTAGAGTCAGGAGAGACTCCTACATGTATTTGGGTCTTTCAGATCCAGAGTATAGAGCTATCTTCCTTGTTTAGAAATAAAAAGAGTAGAAATAGAAACAGATGTAGCATCTCAAGTTTTTCTTTTTACATCTGAATTTTTGGCATTTATAAAAGTCCAATGTGAACCTTAACATTTCTTATAACCTTTAAGAAAATGCACGAATCCTTTTAAAATGTCAGTGGTTCAAACCAAATACACAATTTTGAGATCTGGAAGTTAATTTTTTGGGTGGCAAGTGCAGAATCTTTCTTCCTTTGATATGCCTGACCATCCAACAGGTCATTCAGAAATAAATTCTCTATCCTTTTTGATCAAAGCTGAGTATCCAATTTTATAGAGATGAGAAACATTTTCCCAGGGAGTGGAATGTTCAGTAAGATGAGCTTTATTTTCAGTAAAAACCACGTTGGATTTTAGACAAGTTAGGAATAATCACTCATGTTCCTCAAGATGAAGCCATACATAAAATCTATTTTATGAATCCATGAAGAAGCTCAAAGTATTTAAAAATTCTGGTAGAGATGCAATATGTTTCCACTGTCTTTAATAGCTATGGTGCAAGCAAAGTGTTGTAAGACAATACTTCCAGCTTACGTAGCAATTATCTGGTGACCTTAATGTGAAATGTGAAAACTTTTTAATATTTGACCTGGTCACCTATGTGGCCAAGGCATATGGCAATATGACCTTCACATAAAATATGATAACATAAACAGAGAAACTTAGAAGTCTTATTCATGGATCCCCCCCAAAATACCTCTCTTTCAGTTTGGCCCTAAGTTAGTTATTTAATGCAGGTGTCATTTACAATTATCCAGGAAAGATGTTAATTGTATGCCAGGCCCAAGGAAACTCAGACCATAATCATAGTCTAGTCACCTTTAGCAGTAACTCTGCAAGAGATGACATCAAAATAACACCATTGCTTAGAAGTATCACCTCCATCTAAAGAACATGAAAGAATGTGTGGATGTAGAAGTAGACTTAGGTACAGGAAGGGGTGCCTGGGTGGCTCAGTCGGTGGCTCAAGTTGACTCTTGATTTCAGCTCAGGTCATGATCTCAGGGTCCTGGGATCGAGCCCCGCATCGGATTCCACATTCAGCGAGGAGTCTGTGTCAGGATACTCTCTCTCCTTCTCCTCCTTCCCCCCACCCCGCCCCCCGGCTTGCTCCCTCATGTGCATGCACTCTCTCTCTCAAATAAATAAATAAATAAATCTTCTTCTTTTTTTTTTTTAAAGAAAAGTACAGGGTATTTTTGCTTTGTCTGAAAAATGCCAAATGCCTTCTGTGTTTGATGTGAAGACTGGTTACTATTTTACTTCTAAATTTCAGATTAAAAAGATTTTGTTTTTGTTTTGATCAATGACAAAGTCAACATTTGTCATATTACTATTCACTTTCATAAGGGCTTTCTGAGTTTGATGAACAAGCAGAATTAGGTATCGTGTCACCAGTGGAAGACAGTGTTCTTGTATTCCATAAATGGATAGCTTTCCGAGGGTCAAAATTATTAATGTCTGGAGAATTCAACTGGATTATCGGGAGGTCCGTCATACTTTCAGCCTTGATCTTGGCATGCATTTGTGACTTGGCGCGTTTCATCTGACTAAAGCCACGTTCTGCCTCTGTGGAACTTGCAGGGAGGGTCAGTCAGCACTAGGTCCACTAATGTCAGGATATTTGGATACTTGTGTAAGTAAACAGAATTCACAAAATCCCAGGTCAATTTGCGGATGTTCTGAAATCTAAGGGGTGGGAGGAGAATGAAAAATGTAAAAGATTGAGACTCCCAAGTTTCATTCAAATATTTATAAATACCAACTATGCTTACCTAGCATATATCTCTAATTTCAACATGCTCCATTCAGTGTCTACTTCCTCGATCTCCACATTGGCAGCTTCCTGTACTGGTTCATAATGGGCAATCAGTATAGATACCTCTTTTTCTCCAAATTCTGCCATCGATATACAAGAGAAAAAGTCAAGATATGAAAGAAACCTACAGAGGATCAAAGAACAGTAGGTTTGGAGGTAGTGCATATAGGGTACCTCGGTTTATCTTTGTGGGCCACAGTTTAAAGCTCCCAATCATGGTAGCCTTCACCACATCCTGGCTGGCATCTCTGAAGCAGCCTTGCAGCCTCTTGATAAGATGTGTTAAGACTGTGTTTCTTACATCAGAAATGTCTCCCTCTCCTCCCAGGCAGTTACCATGAAAGTGCGTGACAGAATCCACCCAACGTTCTTTTGGTCCTGGTCTGGGGAGGAAAAAAAAATCCCCCAAGTAAACAATTAAATGAAAAGGCACCTGGCAAATAATGTCCCCAGTCATACTATCTAAGTTTGACATTTGACATTCCCCAATTCCTCACTTTGTTTGATATATTCTGAGCATTTCCATTGTTGACTCTAACACGGCAAATACGTCAGCAATGGAAGAATTTCTGTTCTGATTGACATGGGAAAGAATGCTAAGTACATTAATGACATCCACTAAGAAATGGATGAATTTAACAATGTCTGCTTGGAGAAGGAACACTAGGAGTTCCTTGGCTTTCTGATGACTGGTGTCACTTTTGTCTTCATCTGCCCGTAACGTAGATTGGGAATAAAATATCAGTTTATTGTTCTTAAAATTATTATTTCAAATTGCTCCATAAAGATATCTCTGCCACTCTGGAAAACTAAAACAGTATGGTATGTCACAATTACTTACCGAAAGCAATTGCTGGATTATTGCAGGATATCCCTTGAGAAAGTTCTGGAGGGCTGCCTGTAATTCCTGAAGCCACCTCCTGCCCCTTCTTGAGAAGGTATCACAGGCCGAAGGTGAAGGCTTTTGAAAGCAGTCATCAGAGAACTCCTGAGAAGAGGGGAACTGTGGTAGAAGTGGTAAACGCTGTGAAGAAGGTTTCTGACATCATTGTACAGGGGAACGCTCTGGAACACTGCCTTGTAAGATAGTTCAAGATGATGTGCAAAGCAGTACACAGTCAGCACACATGGCTGGATTTCTCTTAAAAGCAGAGCCACCCCATTGTTTTCTCCCTCTGAGCCCGGGACACCATCACTTCCAAAACCAACCAGTTTCTTTGCCCAGTCTTGGTTCGATAGCTTAAGTTGAAGATTTCTTTTCTTATTGCCAAAGGATCCTTCTTGTCTACTGTCTGTACCCCAACAATTTGGCAATGCACTTTTCCTGCACGTGCAAACTGCACATAGACAAGTTCAGCTTCCTCGGTTGAACTGTCTGTGATTCCATCACTGAGGACAGAGAAAAATTTACTTTGTTCTAGTTTCTCTCTTAGATTCCTCCGTTCCACTTCAGGGATAAAACATGTAAAGGTTCTTGCTGATTTGTTAGTTCTGAATACTGGGCCAATATCAATCCCCTTCATATCATCCAACTTGCACATCCAGATAAAGTCTTTGAGGGGACGTCCCGTCTTGGCGATAGCATGGCATGATCTGAATAAGTTCTCTATTCTCCCAGGGGTGATTTTGCTCATGGTTGTCACCATGA